GAGTTCAGGGCCAGCCCAGCCAGGCTTGTGGGCTGTCATGCAAATCAAGTAGCCACAAATAAGATAGCAGTAACGTTACATGCACGCAGAAACCCCACTGGAAAATAGCAATTTTTTTTTTTTACAGTTTTTGTTATTTTGGTTTTTCGAGCTTTGGAGCCTATCCTGGAACTAGCTCTTGTGGACCAGGCTGGTCTCAAACTCACAGAGATCCGCCTGCCTCTGCCTCCCCTAGGATTAAAGGCGTGCGCCACCAACGCCCGGCGACAGTTTTAATTTTTGTTTTTTGTTTTTTGAAGTCCTATGATGAGCACCCTTTGTGTTGGAAGTAAAGCAATAGTACTAACTTTTACCGGTAACGGTCTAGGAAGTTAAATGGCTGCTGGGCTCTTTGATCAGGGGTCGTTGGACACACGCTTAGCCTGTTGCTGAGTACAGATTAGTTATAGCTATTGTGGTTTAGTTAGAATTCAAGTCGGCCGAAGCTACACAGGTACTGCCCCCTGCGTACACACAGACCCATGTTGGTGGGAGACAGTAGTTTTTGGAAAACATGGTGCTATGTACTTTAAAAATGAGTACAGCTTAGGACTGTTCTTGAGGAAGGCGCATCTGTCAGCATGCAATATAAATCAATTTACGAGGAATCTAGTTAAAACAGTCCATCAGAAAACCACCGTTCGGCCGGGCGTTGGTGGCACACGCCTTTAATCCCAGCACTGTAGCCGGGCGTTGGTGGCTTTAATCCCAGCACTTGGGAGGCAGACGCAGGCGGATCTCTGAGTTCAAGGCCAGCCTGGTCTACAAGAGCAAGTGCCAGGACAGCCAGGGCTTCCACACCTGATGGCCTGAGCTGTAGACCCCAGGCCCACATGGTGGAGAACCAACCCCTGAAAGTGTTTTTCTGAGCACACATTCCAAGGAGTGTGAAGGTAATGCCATTGTGATAATGAATGAAGGTGACTTGTGTCTGTGAGGACTGAGGTGTAACGTTGGCCAGCCCCTGTCACCTGGCAG